CAACTAGACTGAAGAACAAAAGGACAGCAACTTGTCTGTTCCCCTTCCTCCAATTCCCCAGCGCTGTTCCCATCCCCCAATTCCCCAATAAAAATATTTTTTAAAAAATAAAAATAAAAATAATTTCAAACACTTACAAATGATAAAAGGAAAACAGAGCTCTCTTATCAGGTGGCCCTGGACTGGGAATAGGCTGCAGCTGAACTTGACCTGCCCCAGAGCCCCTACCAAGAGACCCCGGAACCAACATAGCCAGTGGCCAGCTTCAGACCACACCAGAGCACCACCCAACCACCTCCACAAACAACACACACAATAGGCAGACTCGGCAGGCACCAGAGCCCCACTAAAGGGAATTCTTCTCTGTAGTGTCAGCCTCTGCACATCTGCTCCTCCACTGTAGTCACAGCCAGTCCTCACAACCAATCAGCCTATGGGTCAATCCTTCCCACTGACATGCCAACAGCAATCAAGGCTCAACTACAACAGGAGGGCACACACAACCCACACAAGAGACACACCTGGAGCACCCAGCACAGGTGACCACAGAGACTATGTCACTCAGCCCCACAGAACACCTAGTACATAAGGCTACACTACTAAGGCTGGCAGATGTAGCAGCTCTACCTAATACATAGAAACAAACACAGGGAGGCAGCCAAAATGAGGAGACAAAGAAACATGTTCCAGATAAAAAGACAGAACAAAACTCCAGAAAAAGAACTAAACAAAATGGAGATAAGCAATCTCCCAGGTGCAGAGTTCAAAACACTGGTTATAAGGATGCTCAATGAACTCAGAGGAAGAGTAGATGAACTCAGTGAGAACTTTAACAAAGAGATAGGAAACATAAAAATGGAGACAGATTAAATCTGTCTAGGCCTTTCAGGCAAAATAGTCCCAATTCTACTCTTTCTTTACATATTAAATTTTCCTCATTCTTGTATTTGCTTTCTTATGAAAGTCCTCCAAGTCTCTCCCATGCATTTTTGTATTAGATAACCACAAATAAAAGATATGGTAAATACTCTACTTAAAAAATGGAGATAGAGGGTCGGCTGAGTGGCTCATTGGTTAAGAATTGGTTGGGAGTGCAAGCTCTGAGCAGCAGGGCTGCTGGTTCGGATCCCACATAGGCCAGTGATGCTGCGCGCTCTACAGCTAAGATGGTGAACAACAGCTTGACCTGGAGCTGGGCTGCCGTGAGTCGCTGGTGACGGCATAGGCTGCAGCCCCTGCTGCAGTGGATTGCTGTAAGCTACCATGAGTGGCCGGCAGCCAAGCGTGAGTGGCCGGCAGTCGGCGTGAACCGCCATGAGCAGCCATCCAATGGCCGGCAACCGATCTGCCTCAGCCAGGAAGAGCGCAATGATCACAATATCAACATGGGCCAGTGAAGCAATGTCCTCTACAACTAAATTGAAGAACAAAAGGACAGCAACTTGTCTGTTCCCCTTCCCCAATTCCCCAATGCTGTTCCCTCCTCCAATTCCCCAGTAAAAAAAAAATTTTTTTTTAAATGGAGATAGAAAACATAAAAAAGAACCAGTCAGAAATGAAGAATACAATAACCAAAATAAAAAATACATTAGAGGGAATCAATAGTAGATTAGATGAAGCAGAGGATCAAATCAGTAATTTGGAAGACAAGCTAGCAGAAAACACTCAATAAGAACAGCAAAGAGAAAAAAGAATATCTAATCAGTATAGTGTACACCTGAAACTAATATAATATTGTAAGTCTACCGTAATTGAAAAATTAAGAAAACATTGTTTAAAAAGGAAAACAGTGGAGTAACAACAAAGCATGCTGGGGGAGTAGTACATATAATAGTTAACTAGGAAGGCATCTTTGAAGAAATGACACTTGAGCACTGACACCAATAACGAGCAAGCCATGTGCGCACCAGAGAAAGCTACTTGAGGTCCAGGGAACCTGTGTAGAGGCCAGGAGGCTGACTGGGGAAGGCTGGAGTAGATGGAGCCAGATAGAGCCAGGGAGGGGAAGTCACAAGGGCAATTATGGACCAGATTTTTAAGGCCCTGTAGAGTGGTAAAAATAATGGAATTTTATTATAAGCGTAAGAGGTTAAA